GATGACATCGGGCTGCAGGCAGGCAGGGCAGGTGTGAGAGCTGGGCAGGACATCCAGGTACGGCTTCCATGGGGATCTGGGCCCAGCGTGTTTCTCTGAGATCAGGAACGTGCACAGCGCCAGCAGCGGCGACACCGGCGGCTTCCAGCTGGCGGTGAAAATAAATTAAAATACAATGCAATAAATGCAATAAAAATGCAATAAAAATACAATTAAATAAAATAAATAAAAATAAATAAAATGCAATAAAAATACAATTAAAATAGAATTTGGTTTTAAAAAATTAAAAATTAAAAAGTTTTAAAAGGTAAAAAAATTAATAATTTAATAAAGGTAAAAAGGAAAAAGAAAAGAAAGAAAAATTAGAAAGAAAAATAAAAATAAGGATAAAAATAAAATAGAAAGGAAAATGAAAATAAATTAAAAATAAAATTAAAAAATAAAAAATAAAAATATTAAATAAATATTAAATTAATTAAATATTAAAATAAATATTAAAAACAAATAAAAATTAAACAAAAGTAAAAATAAAATAGGAATAAGAAAATAGAAAAATAAATTAGAAAGAAAAATAAAACAGAAAGAAAAAGAAAGAAAAGTAAAGTAAAAATAAAATAGTTTTAAAAGGTAAAAATATTAATAATTTAATAAAGGTAAAAAGGTAAAAGAAAAGAAAGCAAAATAAAATAAGGATAAAAATAAAATAGAAAGGAAAATTAAAATAAATTAAAAATAAAAATAAAAATAAAATAAAAAATAAAACTAAAACTAAAAATAAAAATAAATTAAAAATAAATAAAATGCAATAAAAATACAATGAAATAAAATAAATAAAAGAAATAAAAATAAATAAAATGCGATAAAAATAAATGTAAATACAATGCAATAACAATGCAATAAATGCAATAAAAATACAATGAAATAAAATAAATAAAATAAATAAAAATAAATGAAATGCGATAAAAATACAATTAAATAAAATAAATAAAATAAATAAAAATAAATAACATGCAATAAAAATACAATTAAATAAAATGAATAAAAGAAATAAAAATAAATAACATGCAACAAAAATAAATGTAAATACAATGCAATAAATGCAATAAAAATACTAATTAAATACTAATAAAATACTAATAAAAATAATAATTAAAAATAAATAAAATAAATAAAAATAAATACAATGCAATAAAAATACAATGAAATAAAATAAATAAAATAAATAAAAATAAATAAAATGCGATACAAATAAATGTAAATACAATGCAATAACAATGCAATAAAATGCAATAAAAATACAATGAAATAAAATAAATAAAATAAATAAAAATAAATAAAAATAAATAAAAATCAATGTAAATATAATGCAATAAATGCAATAAAATGCAATAAAAATACAATTAAATAAAATAAATAAAATAAATAAAAATAAATGAAATGCGATAAAAATACAATTAAATAAAATAAATAAAAATAAATAAAATGCAATAAAAATACAATTAAATAAAATAAATAAAAATAAATAAAATGCAATAAAAATACAATTAAAATAGAATTTGGTTTAAAAAATAGAAATAAAAAATAAGAGGTAAAATAAAAATTAAAAGGTTTTAAAAGGTAAAAAAAATAATAATTTA